TGTGCGTGTACCGCGACTAGGTAACTCTCACTGTGAAAGCCGGACAGGGTGTTACGGTCTCTCCTCGCCGTGCGCTGAGACCAAGACGGTCGCCGATCATTGCCTACGGCGCACAAGCTTTCACCGCCGATGCCGGGCAGGGCATTCAGGGAGTTTTGTTTTTTTTCTCGCCGTGCGCTCAAGACTAGATGACCGCCTCTACGAGGCACAGGCCGCCTTTACAGCGAAAACCGTGAGGGGTGTTTTGGTGGGGTTGGGGGTTGGCGGAAGAGAGCGAGGAGGGGGAAGGGTCCCCAGGTTCTTCCTTTGTAGTTTGAGGCATCATTTTTAATTTTATTGAAAAAAAAAGATTCTGGCTTTTCAGAATCGTTTTTTAAAAAAAGACACATTTCATTGACCGCTACCGTCTCGGTCTCAGCGCACGGCGAGAAGAGAACGTATAACACCCTTTCCAACTTCCGCAGAGAAGGTTACCTGGTCACGGTAGACTTTAATCGCGCGTTGCCTCTACTCTGTCCACTCCTGTTTCTCCCCGTAAAAAAACTATTCTGGCTTAATTCATAATTTTAAATTCCGTAAAAAAACTATTCTCGTTTTTGAAGAACGAAACTAGTTTCTGGTTGCCAGAATCGTTTTTTAAAAAACGACACTGCTTTTTGGGCATCTAACCCAACCTAACCCTCAACCCCGCCTTCTCCCACCAACCTAAACACCCTGCAAGGCTTCCGCAGTGAAGGCTTCTTGTGCACTGTAGACGCTTATCAGAGGGCGTCTCCGTCTCACCACACGGCGCTGAGAGTTCGTAACACATTGCCCGGCTTCCGAGATGAGAGTTACCTGGTTGCGGTAGCATGCCGGTTGCCTTTCCCTCTGTCCACCCCTTACCTGTTTTTCTTTGCAAAAACAATTCTGGCTTCTCTCAGAATCGTTTTTGAAAAGCGACACTACTTTCTAGTTGCCGGAATGATTTTTCGAAAAACGACACTCGTTTCTGGTTGCCAGAATCGTTTTTGAAAAACGACACTAGTTTCGGGCTGCCAGGATCGTTTTTCGAAAAACGACACTGGTTTCTCGGCATCAGAACCCTTTTAAAAATGCAATAAAATTAAAAATTACATTTCAAACTACAAAGGGAGTCCCCGGGGGGCCTTCCCCCTCTTCAACCTCACCCTTATTCCCCCACCCCCACCCCCACCCAAACCCCCACTTCCCGGCTTCCGCTGTGCAAGCTGACTGTGACTAGTACAGACGGTCAACTCGGCCTCCCAGCGCGGCAAGGAAAGACCGTAACACCGTAAACACCCTAGCAAGCTTCTGCGATGAGGGTTGCTCGTACCCCGTAGGCAATAATCGGCGACCGTCTCGGTCTCAGCGCACGTCAAAGAGATACCGTAAGAACCTGCCCGGCTTTCGTGATGAGGGTTACCTAGTCGCGGTATACTTGCTGCTGCTTGCTTCTTCCTCCGTCCACCCCTGTTTCTCTCCGCAAATACGATATTGGCTTCTCAGAATCGTTTTTGAAATACGACACTAGTTTCTGGCTGCCAGAATCGTTTTTAGAAAAACGACACTGGTCTCTGGGCATCAGAATCGTTTTTGAAAAATCCAATAAAATTAAAAATTATACTTCACTAGGTTCAAACTACTTAGTGAGATCCCGGGGAGTGGTGGGGCTTTTCCCCCTCATCCCCCCCCCCCTCTAACCTCACCTAAACAATAGTTCAGCGGTGATTGCTACCTGTACGCCGTAGGAGATAATCGACTACCGTCTCGGTCTCAGCGCACAGTGAGGAGAGGCTTCCACGGTGAGGGTTTAACTGGTCGCGGTAGAAAATAATATTCACAGGTTGCCTCTCACTTCCTCCGCTCCNAGGATGTAGATAACAGGGGTAGCTATCTTCTAAACCGGCCAAGATATACCAACATGTTACATATCAATAGAAAGCTTATTTCAACAGCTCTTCATTTCATATCCTTATTTTATTATGTAATCGTTACGTAATGAGATATAATGCTTAATAGGTGCATGTGCTCAACATGATCTTTACACCTTAAAAACTAGAAGTCCACTACAAATGGACATGTGTAGACAGCTTGACTCGTGAGCCCTCATAGGGATCAACAAGAATGCGCCTCAAATTAGCGATATGTGTTAAATTAGCAGAGATATCAAAATAAACTTGGTTTCCAGTTCAACGAGACCCCCTAGTATGGAAGCGTATAAGTGCCACAACACACAACAAAATCACTCAACACACAACACAATTTCAACACGACACATTTAACTTCTTGACACAACACCAAAGAAAATCGCAACACAACACATTTACTTCTCGACACAATGGAAATAGATGGCGCTTTCGGCGCGGACGTCTTGGAAAAGCCGCGAAAACCCACAACGATTCTGTAATTGTTTCCTTATTTTCTCAAGGCATTTATAATAATGTGTCACTTTGGGGTCCAGGAAAAGCGCACTTTTGAAAACATTGTACTACAGAGAAGTTTTAATATCAGATAATTTGTTGTGAATGTTGCATATTCCAGGGACGGATTCAGAGATATTTTCTGACAGTCTTCCAAATTATCTTTGTTGATCCATCCTCCATTTTTGACCGTCTTCCGACAGAAAAAAATCAGATACCCGTCAATGTAAACTTGAAAATCTGACCGTCTTCCGGAAGACCCAGAAGACGGCCTAAATCCGCCCCTGTATTCTATGATGTGTGTGTGTG